GGATCCCCGATTAACCTTATAAATAGCTTGGCTAAAATTACCTGTATTAAAGCAATGCTCTAGGGTGAAATTTACTTAGTTTTTATTATGTAATCTATAACTGAAGCAAGGAAAATAAATAAGCCCTCATGCCTGTGTGCAAACATGTTCCAAGGCACACCCAACTGAAAAAATATCATACATACCGAGATCACAGCTAAGACAAGATTTCATAAAAAGGTAAGAATAATTTAGTTTTGTGGGAGACTGAGAACCTGGAAGAAAGTGTATGTGGCCTGCTTTCAGCACTCATGACCACAGGGCCTGGCACGCCATCCCTAGTGAGAGGCATGCCTCCAAGGGCCGAGATATACCAGAAACATTTTGTCACTATTAATGCAGTGAGACTATTGTATGTAGAAAGGCTTAAGCATTTCTAAATAATGAAAATACAGGAAGCAAAGGTTCAGAAGCAATGCAGAACATGCTTCTGCTACAATGCAAACCACGTATGGAAACATTAAGGTACATTTAGATGTTGGTCACAAGTTCGTGGGGCAAAAGTAAAAGAAATGTCTGAGGAAGGAAACGTAAAAGTATAAAAATCTTGTCTTTAATTGGTTTCGTCTTACAACGTGTTTGCACACGTAGACAAGAGTGCTGTCTGAAAGAAGGGACCACATCTGTAGCACGCATGACTACCCTCGCTTTGCTTTTCCTTCTGGGTCCCTCAAACACACTTGCAGCTTTGGTGACTAGATCCTGTGCACATACTTAGTTACTCAACACCAGCACCTGCATCTCTCTGGCTAAGTCCTTTCTTGGGCTGCAAATGCATACTTGGTCTGTGTGCAGGAGATGCAGGAAGTTGTAAGGATTTAATAATCCCAGGTATAACATCAACAAACAGGAGGATAAGTACCAATAGCTAGCTTGTCCCTCAGGAAGTTAAGACTTAGGCATGTTGGCTTAAATTGTCATAGAAGTGCTCAATGTTTTAGAAAATTAAATATGTTGGTATTATACCTTGTTAAATGAATTATTAAAAACCTATCTTTCTATGGATCTATCTAGCAATTTGACAGATTCAGGAATTTGACAGTCTAGGCCTAGTTTTAAGTGGAATTTAAGGAGATGCTTTCTAAAACTTGAAAAAATATTTTTAAAAAAGATATTTTTCTAAAGAGCAAAAAACTTACAACAAATACAGAGACCAGTAAGAAAGGTAAAAAGAGAATATTTCATGTATTCCATGATGTCTAAATTATAGAAAAGCCAGAGTAATATCTGATTATTAAAAGGAAGATAAAGACATTCCATGGGTTAGAAAGCTTAATACAATTAGGATATCAATACATCCCAACACAATATATAAACTCAACGCAATCCATATAAAAACGCCAACAGTCTTCTCTGCAGAAATGAAGCCGCCAAAAAGGCAAGGTATCTTGAATACCTAAAACTTTTGAAAAATAATGAAGTAGGTTAACTAACACTTCTGGATTTCAAAGCATACTATAAAACTATAGTCATTCACACAGCCCAGAACTAGTATAACAGTAGACATTTAGACCAATGGGATAAAATTGAAAATCCAGGAATAAGTCATCTATCTATGGTCAACTGATATTCAACAAAGGTGCTAAGTCCATTCAGTAGGGAAGAGTTTTATCAAAATGGAACTGGGAAAACTGCATTTCCACATCCACATGCATGAGTCAGGATCTGTGTCTCACCACATTAACACAAAAAAGTAAGAACTAGATCAAAGACTTAAATGTGAACATTAAAACTATAAAATTCTAAATGACTGGGGAAAAAAATTCCTAGAAAAATATAGAGAACTTGTGGGACCTAGCATTTAGCTATTGATGATCTGCATTGACAACAAAAGACCATATAGCAAAAGATAAAGTAGATGAGACCACATAAAAATGAAACATACTTTTACATCCAAGTACTTTCCTCACAAAATGAAAAGACAACCTAAAGATAGAGGAGAAAAAAATTCAAGGACCATGTATCACATAAGTCTAATATCTAAAACAAAAATGAAATTCCTATTGTGTAACTGAAAAGAGAAAAACTACCAAATCAATTAGTCGGCAAAGAATTTGATATTTCACCAAAGAGAAGATTCCAATTGCCAACACGTGAAAAGAAGCTCACAAGTAGTAGCCATTAAATTCCAAACTCAATGCTTTGGCATAAATTGGCTCATATTGACTGTATAGGACAGATTCATACTACCCCTGTGGGTTTCTGAGACTGCAAATCTTTACAGGAGTAAAAAGTTTCATTTTCCTCCAATGGTAGTTTTGAACTGCTCACCTTGTGGCTAACAGCCAAACATGTACTCCACCAGGGTTCCTTTAAGATAGCTGCACATCAAAATTACAATGAGGTAACACCTCAGAGTAAAACAGAAAACGAACAGTGTGGTAATGCTATGGAGAAACAAATCCTCAACCATTGCTCTTGGGAATGTCAAATGGAAATGTGGAAAAGTTTGGCAGGTTCCAGAAAACACTGAACATAATAAAACTAACCCAGCAATTCCTAAACCTACCTAAATAACAAGAATAAAGGTGGAGTGCAAACCAAAACCTATCCACCAGTGTCAACTGCAGCACTTTTCATTAACGGTCAAAAGGTAAAAACACCAAAATGTCCACCAACAGATGAGTGGATAAATGAGATTTATACTTACAGTTGAATATCATAAAACTATAAAGAAAAAAACCTAACTTCTCATGCATGCCACCATATGGATAACCCTTGAAAACATGCTGAGTGAAATGCCAGTAGCAGAAGGACAAATATGGTATGGGGGCACTTATGTGGGATAAGCAAAGCTAGACAGACTGTGGGAAACAGAAAGATTCCTCCCAAGTTGTCTCCCCCAAATCCTAACCCTAACCCTAACCCAAACTTAGCTGCTTGGGAATGACTATACACTTGGAGGTCATCAAGAGTAGATAGGGGTCATTCTCCCCAAGAGCTATCAGCCATCTAGAACAAGCAGTTACCATTGTTTATTCCACAACAAGTAAGGCCCACTCCCTTCCGATAAGGACTGTTTTCTTGTAGTAGACCTGAGAGGTCAAGCCCACCCAAGGTGGCCAAGGTTAGGCCACCATCATGAATCTAGGGTCCGCCCTTCTTGTCACACGTATACCTCTAGTCTCTCCCTTTCCTAACATGTGCACACCCCTAGCTCATCCCCTTCCTGTCACACTTATACATCCCCTTTCTATGTGTATGCCTATTCTGCCCCTTCCTGTGACGTGTGGTTACCTGCAATCACACCCCCTGAAGTAGATATAACCCTTGGTTAGCAATAAACGGGGTCCTAGAGCCTCCTGCCGGGTCTCCACCCCACCTGGCCCTCGGCCCACGCTGTGCACGGACCTGGCTGGTAAATCATGGCCATCCAGAGGTGAGCATGCTACCATGAAATGTGTGACTCCATTCATTATTTGACTCTCTCCTATCTCTCATGCTCTCTATGACTTTACTATAGTCTTTATATATAATAACCGTACAGTTGTGCCTATCGAACGTGTGATTAGTGGTGGGGTGCTGGCACCCCTTCCAACCACAATAGACCAAAGTTTATTAATGGTTATCAGGATGGGAGGGAAGAGGAAAGAGGGATTTTAGTTTGGGGGGCACTGGGTTTATGTTAATAGATGTGGAGTAGGTTGTAAAAGGATAGGAATAATGGTAGCACAACATGAAAAATGTTATCACTGTCACTGAATTGTACATGTGGTTGCACTGGCAAGTATTTTGGTGTGTATATTTTCAGCATCAATAAAAAATTAAGTAAAGAAACTAATATTATCTCTTGCTTCTAAAAGAAAAGAAAAATGAGAAGAAAATAAAAGGTGGGGGATGGTAAGGACAAACTGGGTGGACTGAAGATTCCATTTTTAATATAATGATAATGAACAGAATAAGACTTCACAGAATACTCTTCTGGGCATCAAAGATGAGGGGAAAATTATAATTTTTTTACACAGAGATATCTCTGATGATAATCGTCATAAAGAGATTAAATATACCAGGGACAACACACCAGACAAGAAGTCAAAGTCCTAACTGTGAGAGACATGGGCTACCTTCATGATCCAGATTAGTAGGAATATTTCATTTTAAGCTACAAACAAAGAAGTCACTGTTCTAAATAACCACCGTTTTAGAGATTTTGAAAAGAGCTGTTTGAAGTATATTTTAAGTTGCCCAATTCATCAATGACCAATGGACTTCCCCCTCTCCCACCTGCCTAGTTTCTCATACACTCACCTGGAGAGTCTGAACTTGCAACTTTTTCTCGACCCACCATCCAGGGCTCTTCTCCTCGTTCCAGCTTGAAGATCACATCTGGCTTCAAAACCTCATACCCTATTTCAAGGGAAATCATAAAGGGCTAGGACACAACAGCGTTAAAGTCTCTGAAGAACAAGCAAGGTTTAGCTTCTGAGTTCACCTAATAAAACTCCCCACGGTTATCTCAACACTGTAAATAACTTTAAAAGATATAATAATTCATCCCTGGTGACAAATAATAACAATCTTTGACGTCTATGATTCAAGCCCAAAACCATTCAGCCTATCAGAGGTTTTGTAGTCAGCCTGACTGGGTTCAAATACAGGTTCTTTCACTTATGGGATCTCAGCCTTGCGGAAAGTTACTTAGTCTCTCTTTCCCTCAATCTTCTCCACAGGAAACAACGATCATAGTACCTGCTCTAGGGAATTGTTCTAATGATTAAATTAAGCTAAATGTGGCATATGATTAAGTCATAGGCATTAGTTCTGCTACTACTAATATTACTGTGTTTCAGAGGTTGAACAATGAGATCGTGAGTTCATTATTGGACGGCGAGATCCAAATCATATTTTCTTTGGTGTCATAATCCTAGATACCTTAATCTCCTAAATGAAAGTCCCAAATAAGTACTTTGGAAGCTGTAGAGCTCACAGCAATTGATAAGAGAAAGGCAGTTTTCTGGGCAAGCACTGTGGGCAGCTTTTCTTACCCAGTGATATGAGGCTGCTGTAGTTCTCCAACATGACATCCTTGTATAAGTCCCTTTGATAGGAGTCCAACAGCTGCCATTCCTTCTGGGTGAAGTCCACAGATAAATCTTCAAATGATAAGGACTCCTGGAAGAGCACAAACCTAGTCAATTTGAAGGCGTTATCAGGACTTGGAAAAGAAGTATCAGGCCTTGGTCACAGTAGTCATCTTAGCAAGACATAAGGGAGGCCTACTATGTTCCTATCATTGCATCCCACTCTGTGGGAGAAAACGTCACTGCACCAGTCTTCCACCCTTCCAGTCACACAACATACGAGACCTGACATAAGTGACTTTAAACCCTCTGAGCCACCAAGAATGTATTTACTGAACTTCACGTGTCAGGCACCACAGGAGGTGGCAGCAAGGAAAAGCCCAAACAAAATCCCCCAAAGCTGCAGTTTGAAATGACCACCCACGTGGAGAGCAAGATGAGGCTTCTTACTGCAGTACAGAATGAACAATCAGTCTCGGAAACCCACAGGGAGGTCTACCCAGTCCTATAGGATTGCTCTGAGTTGGAACACACTCAGTGCAATGAGTGTGTGCAAGAGGTAATTTTATTACAACTGCCCAAATCTCCTGAGCCAAGCTGAGTATTAGTCCCAGTAAATCTGCTTCATTCATAAAAGCATAACTTCAGTAATAAACAGTCAAAAAGTTCTTAGAAAGTAAACATCAAACATAGACACAAACAATGTAGCCGAGATTGTCTTACCGACTGACCCAAAAGACCCTTACATTAGGTCAAACCCAATCTCGCAAATGTTGTATAATGTTAAAAAATATGAATTTTATATAAACATATAACACAGTTCCATTTATAAGTTAATATTGTATAATTCTTACTAAGTAAGTTATCTTTTAAAGAAAACGTGTGGTTTTGTTCACAACTCAATTGGACACGTCTGTAGATATAAGTGTACAAGACATGTCCACAAACCTAGTATTAATACTAGGTTAATACTAGGTTAACAGGGACAAAAACTAGATATAGTATAAAAGAACTAAGAATTTTTCACTACAAAGCAGAAGTCTTTGGTTCTGAAACTGATAGATATCAGAAATAAAGCCAACTCTGAGATTCACTTACTATTCACCACGGACACTGAAACATAAACGTGAACTAAAAGACAACTTTAGCAGATGGAATTTTGCAGCGCTTATATGATATGTGTACTAATAAAGATGTGATTTGCAATCAAGTATTCCCCTTGGCTGGCTATGGGATTTCAGGCCAAAACAAACTATGTGTCTCTGAACCTTAGTTTCCTGATAAATTATTCTACATTCATGTTGACAGGTACTATCGAGTTGGATCCACTTCACTGCCATCAAGAGTGAGCCAGGGGCAGAACATGTCCTTTGAGTCCTGAAACCTCTAAAACCAGAGCTATGTTGGGAAATGGCAGCAGCAGCACCCAGAGCACGAGACAGAACAGCCAGTTTCCTGACCGGGGAGCAAGAGGCTGAGGAGCCTCCCTTCTGGTGTGGGCTGCCTCCGAGCCCTTAAGTGGGGAAGCTAGGTTTACGGACTAATGGAGTTATAGCTGAGCGGCTTCGGGACAGGGCTACTGGCAAACAAAGTGCACTGGAGGCATGTATTGGCAGCACTGAAAGAGCTTGGTAACATTACCCAAGCAGGGCAGAGGTCAAAGAGCTATGTGGCTGAAAGGCCAAAAAATGAGAGAGAGACCTATGTCTGCAGGCATGACTGAAAAGTGGCACTACTGTCCTAAGAACTGTATCCTGAACATTCCTGATCCTGAATTATAACCTGCTAGCCTCTCTGATAGAGCTCATAATCCTGAGTATGGACTGTGAGTTCTGTGTGGCCATTGCAGTGAATTATCAAACCCACAGAGAAATAGAAAATGCCATGGGAATCACAGCTGGTATCAGAATTGGTAAAGGCATGTCTGACCTCTGCCTCACAGGAAGCTATCTTGAGTTGATGTTGAATTGCAGTTTCCTTTTGACTTATGAGGCAAGAGGTCAGATGCTGCTGACCCCATTAACCTACCATCAAATTCATTGATTCTTTCCTCAGCTATATTGAGCCTCCGCATGAGTCAACCATTGGCTTTCAGCAGCAAGAACCAGTTCTTCAGAAATGGATGGAGGTGGTTGCTATTAGGAACCAGCTGCAACAAAGAACGTCCTGTGTAGAAATGCAAAGTCCTAGAAGAAAAGATTGAAGGAATAAATCTTACATGGAGTCTTTTGAGGAAGGAGGTAAGGCTTTAGGCAAATTGAGCAACACTAACACAAACATTTCATTTCCTATGATATAGAAATGAAGTGTTTTCCCACCGCACACCCCAATCCTTTTGTAAAGGACCCAATGAGGCAACAATTGCTCAGGTGAAAACTGGGCAAATAAAAGGTTAATCCACCACTTGTTCGATCACTTCCTCATACTATGGAAGTCTGTGTTACCATCATGCTGGAAACTCTGCCACATATATTTTAAGTACCAGCAAGGTCACTCATGGTAGACAGGTTTCAGTCCAGCTTCCACACTGTTAAACTAGATAGGAGGACTTGGAGATATGTCTCCAAAATTTTTTTTGACCAGTAAACGTCTTATGAATGACAGCAGAACGTTATATGACATAGTGCTCAAAGACAGGGCCCTCGCGTTCGAATGCAATCAAATTTTGACTGCGGAAGAACTGCCTCCTCAAAGCAGAGTTGACCTTGATGATAGCATGGAGCAACGCTCTCGGGATATGTCTTAGCTGATGTGGCACCACTCAAAGCATTCACTAAAAACTGGAATGTGGAATGTACGAATCCACGTAAAGATTGACATCCTAGGCATGCATGGGCTGAATAAACGAATACTGGCCATTTTGAACCATACGATCATGGCTTACTGTGTCAGAAACGGCATTCTATTCATCACCATCAACTTGTATTTTATTGAAGAACAAGTGAGAGAACAACACAAACGTCAGTCTCTTCAACTCTGAGACTGGAAGGTGGTGCTCAGCTACCACCACCAACTGCTCTGGAAAAGACATTAGAAGGTCCTGTACAGAACGGGAGAAAATTAGTCAGACAGAGAGTGATCGGGCCCCCAAGCCTTCACCTTCAGTTCTGGAACTGAACTCACTTTTGTATTAGAGAAGTCAATCCTTTTAGATCCAAAGGGCAGCACTGACCTAAAGACAAAGTTCAGCAGAGGGTTAGGGAAACAGGAAGAATGGGAAAAGAACCACAGAGAGCAAGGAGGGTAAATAATGGTACACTGAGGGGATTGGGATGGATAAATTACACAGGATGTGTATGAATTGCCAAATATAAAACTACATTCAATTCAGTAAGCCTTTACTGAATTCACAATAAAAAGTTAATTGGGAAAAAAAATGCGTATCAGACCAAAAGGTCAACAAGTTCAAAAAGGAAAATAAGGGTTCCTTAGGGATACAGTGGGAGAGAGTAGGTAACGGGGAGCTGATACCAAGGAATTCAAGGAGAAAGAAATTGTTTTAAAACTAACTGTGGTAGCAACTATACAATACTGGTTGTTGTGACTGAACTATGGAATGATATGATTTCTGTATTAGCTCCCAATAAGATGGTTTTGAAAAAACAAAGAATAAACTCCTAAAATTAAAAAAACAACAACCTGTTTTCAAAAGTATTATTTTTTTCCCATTAGCCTTTTCCTTTCATTTTATTTTAATGTAATAAAAAAATTAGGATGGAAAGAATAAACTGTTTATCATTTGACACATTTCCCTAATCAGATAGCGAAATTTTACCAAGTAATTAAAAGTTTTCCTTTATAATCTTATTATAGACTACTTGCTGAGGTCTAAGTGAATTTCTGGGAGAAATTTCACAAATCAAGGGGTTTATATGGAATTTGTATAGATTTATTAAAGATAGGCAGCGTTGAACCTTTTACATTGACAGTGTATGGTAGGCTATCACTGTGGTGATCTTAAAATATTTCTGATGACATTTAATTTTGCTGCAGGTAAATCCAACCTGTAGCCGCTTTCATGTCACACCACCACAATAAAGGAAGCATCAAGTGAATCATACAAATTTTTCATTTTCCTTGTGTGTATGAGTTATCGCTATATTACATGGTAGTCCATTAAGTGTGCAACAGCATTATGGAAAGTATGAAATAAAGTGAGAATTTCCAAATTGGGGCATGGAGTAAGCACACGCTGCCAGGAAAAGAACCCACATGCTTGCTGCAGGGTTGTCACCACATGGTTTTTAAAAGCGCTCTATCTATGAAACAATGAAGCAAAAGTTCAGTAAGAGGAGGTATGCCTATACACAGAAGAATGCAGATTCTACAGATGATCTTACTTTGCCTAGTTAAGTAAATGCTTTCTACAGTTGAACCTGGAAGGAGAATGCATGTCTACTTGACCTACAAGTCCCTTCCTGAGCCAGTGATCACACCCTTTACAATACCAAAGATGGGGCAGGAAGGATGGGTGAAGGCTTCTGGTGTCCCTGTTCTTATTCCCAATACCGGAGTAACAGAGTCCACAGTGCCGAACTGACAGTACCACAGTAGACACAGAATAAAGCAAGAGAAAGAAGCTTTGAGAGAACAGCTGAAAAGACTCCACAGAATTTAAACTCCACACTTTGCACAGAGTATTACAAGCTAAGGAATTATGTTATAATACACTGCAGTGACTTTATGAGCAAATATAGTATATACCCTATTGTTTCTTCAGAAGAAGTGTAAATAGGTAAGATACAGAAAAGTAGCCAGGGTGGCTCAGTGGTTAAGCATCTGTCTGCTAACTGAGAGGTCAGCAGTTCAACCTCACCAGCAGCTCCGCAAGATGTGGCCATCTGATGTAAAGATACAGTACTGGAGACTCTGAGGGGCATCTCTATACTACATGGTCAAATAAGATTTAGAATCAAATCAATAGTCGCAGGTCATACTAAGGATAAGGGACCAATAAACACTGGCCACAGGATAATCAACCTACAATGTTAAGTGAAAAATGAACAGTACTGATTGTTATGTACAGTAGGGTACTGTTTTCATCAGAAATAAATAAATATGAGGGGGCTTCAAAAGTTCATGGGAAAATCCCATTATCTTTTAATAGCACTTACCACTAACTTTTTGAGGCCCCCTTGTACATATATACCATTGTATATGGAAGGTCACACACCATCTGATTCCTCTAAGGAGGCAGAGGAGCAAGGAACAATATAGTTATTTTTTTATAATATATCAACCTTATTATTTTATATTCCATGCACACATTACAACAAGTAATTTAAAAAGTAAAAAGTAAATTTAAAAAGTAAAATCAAGTATTTGAAAATGAAAATGAAAGGCATCTGAGTTGGGGTAAAAAAGGCAATTTCTTTCCACTCCCTCATTTTGGGATGAAAAAATCTGATGAAGGCAATTCACAAACCCCAAAACTTGTAGGTTGCCTAAAGTAAGTGATGGAGCTGTCTGATGGGACCCCTCTCCCACAGCTCAAACATAACAAAGGTGCTAATTGCGAAAAAAACAGGCAGTGTTTCTCCTTCTGTTGCACACAGGAACTCAAAGGTACCTGATCACTCCCGCGGCAGTTTCCTGTTAACATTTTGTTTTGTTTTATTATTTTCTTAAGAAGAAATCCAAACCCACTGCCATCAAGTGGATTTTGATCCATATCCACCCTCTAGGGCAGGCAGAACTCTTCTTGTGGACTCCAAGGGCTGTCAATTTTTATGGAAGCAGACAATTTCATCTTCCTTGCAAGGAGCAGCGGGTGGATTTGCTAGCCTTGTGGTGAGCAGTCCAGTGTTTAACCTACTAAGCTACCAAACTCTATCCAGAAATGGTAGGACTGTGCTGGATGACAGTGTGATGGAGTGGGGATACCAGAGTCCCAGCAATCACGCTGTTCTTCCTAGACACTTACTTAAGAACCAATTCTTTCTGTTCCATCCTGCGTCCTATCGCTTTGATCAGTGTCTGGGGTCTTAAAGGCTTGAAGTTAAACAAGAGGCCATCTGGCAGGGTAGCAACAAAGCTCACATGGAAGAAGCACACTAACATTTGTGATCACGAGGTGTCGACTGGATCAGGCATCAGAAGACCCAAAACAAACAACCGTTTCTATGTGGATGAGGGAGATCGGAATGGAGACCCAAAGTCCATCTGCAGACAACTGGATAGCCTCTCACAGAAGGGTCACAAGGATGGGAAGAGCCAGCCAGGGTGCAGTATGGCACCGACGAAACACACAACTTTCCTCTAGTTCTTAATGCTTCCTTCCCTCCACTATCATGACCCCAGTTCTATCTTACAAATCTGGCTAGACCAGAGCATGTACACTGGTACAGATAAGCCCTCTTGACACACAGAATCCAAGACAGATAAATCCCTCAGGACCAATAATGAGTAGCTGAGAATGGCAATACTATGAGAATAGGGGAAAGCTGGGGGAGAAAGAGGGAACCGATCACAGTGATGGATGGACACACATACCCCAGGGGGGACGAACAATAGAAACATGGGTAAAGGGAGACAGTGGACGGTGTAAAATATTAAAGTAAAAATAATTTCTAAATTATCAAGGGTTCACGAGGGTGGGAGGGTAGGGAAAAATAGAGGAGGTGACACCAAGGGCTCAAGTAGAAAGAATATTTTTTGGAAATGATGATTGCAACATATGTACAAATGTGCTTGATACAATTAATGTATGGATGGTTTTAAGAGCTGTAAGAGCCGCCAATAAAGTTATTAAAATAAAAATAAACTTGGAGGGAAATATCCAATAGGTACAAAGACCCGAGGCCAATCAGGCCGCGGTGAGTGAGGCAGGTCTCAGGCAAGGTTTGAGGGGTCCCTCTCTTCACTCATTCACCGGACCCTAAAGTACCCTGCTCGCCTACCTCCACCTCGGTGGCCCGGCACCCTCAACACTGAGCCAGGGGCTCGCAAGTCACCCTCAGAAACCACCACTCCGCACACAGGCCCTCACTCACCGGGTTTAACCGCAAACCTGATCCTGCAGCCTCATCACGACCCGGAGCCCACGCCCGCACAGCGCCCACAAGCGGCCCCCCCCTCCCCCGCCGCTGACCATCTCCAGCCCTCGGTCCCCACAGCACGACCCCTCCCCGCCCCTGCCAGCCTCATCGGACCCGGGACCCCGGGGTCCCGCGCGGAGTGGGTGGTTCCAGGGTGCGCGTGAACACCCCTCCTCCCGCGGCCCCAACACACTCACCCCTCAGCCCAAACTGAGGACAAAGGGTAAGGGCGCAAGTCGAAAGCGGCGGTAGCGCCGCGAGTGCGCGTGCGCGAGAGCCAGGGGCCGCGCAAACCCTTCCCAGAGTGCCGCTCGCCAGCCGCGCCCCGCGTCGCGGAAGTGCCGGTTGCCTAGAGACGAGGATGCCTGGGAGCGGAGCGGCGGGCCAGCTGAGGGACAGTCTGTGGACACGGGGCAGACAAACAGACGTGTAGGAGTAAAAGGAAGCCCAGGGTCACCTAAATCGTTAAACAGCCGGTTATTAGCCGATAGGTTGGCGGTTGGACCCCGCCCCGTCCAAGAGGCACCTAGGAAGAAAGACCTGGAGATTTAAGTTGCCACTGAAAACCCTGTGGAGCCTAATTCTATTCTGATACACAGGGATTCCCATGAGGAATCAATAGCAACTCGTTTTGTTTCGATACCACTCTTCAGTCTGGATTTCCCTCACTTTCCAGCCAGCGTCTCTGCTACCTCCAGTCACTTCCCTGGTTGCACGAATATCCCTTAGTGGTCTGACTCGCGCCTTTTGCAAACCAGTACTGCCTCACTTGCCCATTTACAACAGGCAAGGGAGTACTGAGAGCACCCAGGTACGTCACTTGGAACCACATACATTTCTCCCTGACCCCAGAGTGTAGGAACAGGAGCTCTTACTTTCATGATTATTGACAACTCATCTCCTTCCCTGATGGCCCCTGGACAGAAGATTTCAAAGCAGATAATGAGTAGCCTTAGTTCTTAATTGTGGGAATTTTGCT